CTCAAGAGCCTTGGCGCCATACTCGACCAGAATATGTCGTTTGATCACCAAAATATAGTCAGGTTCTGAAATTTTCATATCGGGGCTCTCCGGCACATTCTACCACTATTGAATCGTGACATAGGCAACACGGTGGTGTGTAGCATAGTATCGTCAAGGCTTGATTATTGCAACTCACTACTCTACGGTCATTCTGGCTAAAACATTACCAAGCTGCAGTGTGAACAAAATTCTTTGGCACGTGTGACAGATACTGCAAGATCCAACGCTCACCGAGCTTCCGGTTGCCGAACAAATACATTATAAGGTGGCACTCATTGCACACGAATTGCTTGCCACAAATGAACCACAATACGTTGCTGATCTCGTCAAGGACCATAAACCATCATGCATACTCTAGGTCATCCTCGCAGTGGCTTTTGGCTAGTCATCGAACAAAGACGGTCTGCATTGCATGTGCTTCTGCGGCCATCTGAAATGCTCTTCCATCGGATATTAGGAAGCCACTGGAGCTATGCACTTTGACATCTGTATTGAAAACGAATTTCTTTAGAACCGCTTTTTGGGTTTTCGTTTGTTGTCCTTCCACCGCACCTTCAATTAGCATGGTTGACTACGTGTCGTGTGAAATACTTTTAACATACATACGTTCGCATTTCTGATACACACGTGATAACAATGAATATACAACCGATGGAGTGACCTGATTCACTTTCCATTTTAATCGGCAATTTAACTTGATTTTGAAAGCCTAAGCTTGTTGGATGGTGTGGTGGGTTGCACCAGAGAATTTAGTGATTACATGTATCATTGGAACTGTACATCCCAAGAAGGATCTATTATTACCTGAGGTATCCGTCACTGTGCTGCATCTATGCAGCCTGAGATACAATTATTACAAATGCCCTAACGGACGTCATGAAGATTACATCCACATCCCACTGTTCTAAGTTCATTGAGACATCAGTGAAGCCAGTGGATTGGTAAATGTGGGTTTATTTCATACCACCCTCGGAGTTAGGGTTAACGATGTTCATTGCTTATTTTTAAACATTTAGTAGCACGGGTGAGTGCTTATTTGGGAGTGCAAATATTGATTTCACGCACATCAATCCTGAGACAATCACTGCACAGTCTAATCCTTTGTATTTAAATTAAAGCAGTGAATCAAATAAAAAGCCATTTGAGTTGGCAGGCAGACTGAGAAATGTTACAAAACGGGTATTGGCAGTTAACAACGTTAAGGGAATGCTCTGCTTTGTGGTCTGCATATAGGACGGCGTATTCATATACATCGTCATGGTAACAGCAGAGTATAGTCACCAGTGAAAATGTTAGAATGTTTTATTTCTTCATAAATACAGGTTTAAATGTGATCCATGTGAAAATGTAACCATACATATACATTGCGTTACAAGCCCATTGAAAATTGAAAAGATTGCACCGTTATCATGTGACATCTATCAAATTAATATTTTAGATTTAAAATAATAATGCTGTAATCCAGTTGAAGAGCACCAATAACAGCACAAGTATTCCAATTATTATTGAATCCATATTTAATATGACACATTATCCACTTCTTATAACATTGCCGATACAGTGTCTAGCACGCTGCATTTTGAAATTGAACCGTATGGCGGCACCCCGGGGTACCACAGTACCCCGGCTCTCGCATAATGTCCGTGATAGTCATTTTTTGTCTATTGATGGTAGGGAATGCGGCAATCGACTCATTTCGACGAGCTGTACACGATGCAAGTTTCAAAGTTGCATTTTTCGGTAACGGATTTTTTAATGGTAATGTTTGGCGTTTCGACATCGCGGAGTGTGGCACTGATTTCGGATTGATTGGTACCCCAGTCGCGGAGTTAAGTACACCCCTGGAAAAAATAGTGTCCCAGAAATAAAATATTTAATTGCCTCGGGCATGTTGCATTATTTGGTACCCCGGGTACCGCCGTAAGGATCAATTAGTGTTTTGAATTTGATTCCCAGCCATGGCGTCACAAGACAGCGAGAGATGGCAACAGCTTTGGAAAGTTTCACATTCAGTAGTGGAAAGATCATGGCTGACGATGATATTGGAGATGACTTGTTTTACACGTGCGCTATTTGAAATTCAACGCAATGAATTTATACGCACGCATCAGTTAAGTAAACATTTTCACGGAAAATAAATTCCAAAATTGATTCTCTGGATCACTCTGGAGAGAACGTTTCAGACTTCATGTCATGGCCAAAAGCACCAAAATGGAATGTCGGTTCACGGGCCAAATCCAATTACGCACCCAGACGTTTTGGCTCATTGCCTGACATAAGGAACTGACCAAATAATTTGGTGATGGTTTTCAAGATTCCTTCCATCTTTCAGAGATCTTTTTTTCCATTTCCAAAACGCGCTGAAGAGATGTTTCTTGATTTTACACCTGTTCATACACACATTCACAATGTAGTCTCTCTTCGAATATACACCTAACAATAACGATGCATTGCATGTCATATTTATCGAATAATGTTTCAGGCTTATAATGTAGTTTATACTTTATTGCTCAATGTGTTCTGCATAAGCAGTGTTTAATATCAGCTGGAACAGTCTGGAATGCCGTTCCGGGAATTGTTTTGGCGTGCCACATTCGTCTCGCCTTATTTAATCCTTTATATATATATACACATATGTGTGTATATATGTTTGTAGCCTATATTCCTATGAAGAGGTTTATATACGTATATACACATATAAAGATCCCCCATATAGCCTTAACAGACCGAAGGGGCAAGTGCTGTTAGCGAGCACCTATGAAGGCCAGAACGGTACACGAGGGGGTGGGTGACCAGCACCATGCTCGACCGCCTTTGTCTCCCTAGTGGCAATGTTTACACACCACACCACGTACTCATTTGAGGCTGAGTCGACCTAGGGGAGGCCCGGGACTGGTTCAGATAACCGTCACTGGTGTTGGCCGTGAGCAGGAATCGAACTCGTGTCGCCGGGTTCATAGCGCAGCGCGCTAACACATATATGTATATATACACATATATTTATATAAACCTCTTCATCGGAAGAAAGGCTACAATTATATAGGATTATTGTGGATTGACATGCCTTTTAGTTTAGTGCTAGTGGCTTATGCCGATAATCCATACTCCAAGCCAGCCCGACATCGTTGCGGAAAATATTGAGTTAAAAATTAATCCCTTTTCTCATTTGTATCTTATTGTATAATATAAATGAGCAAACCCATTTTCAAATAGGTTAATTAGCCCTGAGACTTGTGTGCAATGACATCATCATCACCTATGAGCAATCCACTGGCAGATGAAGAAGGCTTCTTTAGGCCATCGCCATCTCTGCACTAATCTTAAAAAAAAATCCCATTTTCTTTGATGGCCACTTCACGGAAAATGGCATAAAATTGTTAAAAGTTGCATTGCTCATCGCGCCTTCCATTGGTCCCACAACACCTCCGCAACTCCAATTAGCATGGTTGGCTACGTGCGGTGCAAATAAATTCAACATGTGAAAAATAAGAATTAGGTTTAACCCTTTCTGGCAATAAAACAAGTGTTAAGATGTTCAAACACCAAATAGATATCTTTTGGAAGGAATCAAGTTTGCATTAACCGCACTACTTGTTTGTGGTGAACTTGCAAACAAACATGCTCTGATACAATATATCCATTTTATTTTAAACTGATTGACCTACACCAGAGACAACCTTCTTTATTGCCTAGTCCCACCTGTGTCAGACCAGTTCAACATACAGTAACATGCATACCTCGAAATCACTTGAAAAGTCAACACCTGACCTTCAAGATTTGTTTCGCAGTATTAATGTTGCTGCTTGTTTACCCGGGAAACCCTCACTGAGACTTGCGACTGTTTTTTTTTCTTTCCGGAGGGTCCTGCCAACTTTTCGCAGTAGGGGGCGATCATTGCTGTACTCCAATTTAAGTAAAGCGAAGGTAGTCTTTACATTTTTGCACATTTAATGAGCCATGACATCATATGTATCAGCAGAGGCAGGCTTGCTGTAATGGAATTCCAGTTTGACGCACATTTATGGAACACAGCTCAAAATAGTCATTGCGGCAGAATATAAAATGTCACGCAATTTTATTTTACTTCATCTACTTTAGTATTAATTGTGCTCGTTTCTCCTGAAAATCTTCACTGAACCTCCTGATTGTTTATTTTTAGGAAGCTCCTGCCAATATTGTCGTGTAAATTGCAATCTGAACCATTACGGGGGCACACAATGCCCTGCTCTTGCGAATGACGTCACGGGATCTTGAAGGTCCACTGTGACGCAGGCGGCGCGTAGAATGTTTACGGTTCATCCACACCGCAGTGATATTGGATTTGAACGGTGAATGCGCAACCAGTCACCTGGCCGCGTCGAATTCACCATTTTTGTTTTCACTACTATTTTTGTTCCTCCACATTTAGTTGTTTTGCTGCTTCTGTCAGTTGTGCGATGGCCACCGTGTCAGTACCGCGTGCCAGTAACCCGTGCGTCAGTGACGAGGATAAAATACTACCGGGGTGCGAAGTCAACCTGAGTCTCATCCACTCTACAGCCAAGCGCACCTGTCAGGGCTCTCGGCGAGGCAACATGTGAAGTCTGTCGTCGAAGATTAAATTGGAATGTTATATATAAAACAAAAATGTACGTTCATGCATATGCACGTGTGCGTATATATTCTCACTTGTCGCAGAAAGTTCTCACACGGTAGGAGGTAAATGAGCATAACAGCTGGTGACAGGCTTTCCTCTTTCTGGTACACATTATACCAGAACGAATGGCTGACCGTGTGAAGCTATCCTTCGAAACAAAGAGGCGCACGCATCGGTCGTGCCAAATGCCATACCTCACGCCGAAAACCCGCATTAGCATTTGGCCTTGCGCGTGAGAAAGTTTCGGTCTTGCACGCCACGTTTAAGTCTGAGCCAAACAGGTGCCCCCCCCCCTCCCCCTGTGCCCGTTCCAGTGGTATAAATGCATCTGGAGGACCTGGCTGGAAAGAGGCGTCAAACTGGAAGGACAGAGCAGAGACCCATTGAAAGTATAATCGAAGGAGTAATGACGAAAGGACCCATTTACATTTAAAAGTCAAAAGGAATCTCAACGAGCGAAGGAGAAACAATTGACCACATTATGTTGCCGACAGCTGCCTCCCTGCTGTTGTTCTTGTTGGCTCACCTGTGTGTCGCTCAAGACGAATACGTGGAGGTGAGCGCCAAGCCCGTTTCCCATCCCACCATCGTAGCCACTGCCTCGGTGCCCGTAGCCCAGACAATGGGGCCACGCTCCGAGGGCGGCGGTCACAACAGAGAGGTCGTCGTAGACAACAAGACGGTTAAAGATGCCACCCCCAAAGGGAAGCAGCCAGATAGGAATGCGCGTAAGCACAAAGAACCGGCCAGAGAGAAAACGAAATCAACTAGTTATGGCCAGGTACTTGCTGTCTATTAGACACACGCTTTAATAGTATTACAACAGTTGAATTGTGTTTGGGAGTTGTAGACTGCATTTAAAATACATGTTTGTGCTGAAAGCTTTTTTTGGGAATATGCTGTTGTATGTGAACAGTAATTAAAGTAGGTGTTGACAAATTGTTATTATTTCATATACTTTGACCATGTTTCCAGAATGAAACGTTTATTTTAATGTAAATGCACTGTAATTAAATGGATTCTGTTTACTTAATCAATATGGCCATTGCAGCAAAATCATTGCACCTTTGACTGGGCCATTTTATTAAATTGGCTACATTGACGTGCGCTTTGTTCTAATGTGCTATTTAAAAGGTAGGTAATTATCTTATTTTCCTTACTTTTGAAAATAAATGTAATGGCAACAATAACATCTCTCCCCACCACTAAGCCACGTGTGGACTGCCCTTGCAAGTATAAAAAAAACACATCCTTCTGAACATTTTGATTGACAATCCATTACATTTTAATTGCAAAGCGAAAGCGCGCTCTTGCAACGTGCGCAATGCCTGGAGGGATGTGGAGCGATTGGTTCTGTGGGGAGACTTTGCCCATTTTCCCTAGGACACAGAGCATGCTGTAGATCGGCCCCATGGGCCAGACTGTGGACGCTTCCTGGGTGCGCCTGGCCCACGTGGATACCCAGGATCAATGGGCCCTCCCGGCATTCCAGGTAATGTTTATTGAACTTCATTTTCAGTGTGTTTTCTCCTTCATATACGTATACATTTATTCCTTCACACTTTGTAAAATATCTTGCAGTTCGGTGCATCTTTGCAGTCACACGTGTCCAATTGATTGACATTTTGCAAATGGTTTTTGAAAGGCTGCTGAGGAAAGTGGATCGAGAAAATAAAAAGCGTTTTGCCCTGCTCACAAATGAGACACACGACGACCCCAATTCCCATTGCATCGTTTCAGTCTCAGAATTGGATGCATGCGGCAGGGCAATAAAACAACGTGATTACAGAGCCGAAAATCAAAAGTGTTATTCAACTCTGAAAGCCTCAGGGGCAATCCGCTGTGTGGTGATTGGCTCGATAATTTGTAAACAAAAATATTTTTTGTTTTCTTTTCTTTTCCCAAGGAAATCACGGAAATAATGGCAACAATGGTTTGCCCGGCAGAGAGGGTTCAAAAGGTGACAGGGGTGATAAGGGGGACCTTGGAACAAGAGGTGAGAGGGGCGTATCGGGTCCCAAGGGAGAAAAGGGGCAGGCTGGCGTGCCATCAGAGCTCAAGGTAATTCTCCTTTGAGCCACTTTTTGAGAGGGCAATTTGCCGCGAGCACTTTATCAATAATTCATAGGAGCGCCGCTCAAAAAATAGAACCGTTAATATTTTATCCATCTAATAAAACGTGGCGCAGTGATTGATCTATTTGCGGTGAGTGGTTTATTGTAAAGAAAGGAAACATTGCACAAAATCGTAGAAGGAACAAGGCATTTGTAATATATATATATAGCCTACGTGTTGATCGTGTGTAATAGTTGACATTTCAGTGCACCAATAATTGCTTCCTAAATGGGCATACATTATCAACTCATAAGTGACAGCTTTGCGTAATCAAAATCTATACACGGTATATGTGCGTCTGTAATTATGCAAGTTGTGACGCGTATTTATGTGTTCCCATTACAATTTGTAACCGGAAGATAGCGTTCATGGCTTCCATGGCAACCCACTTCACGAACCAGAACAGCGGCATCATCTTCAGCAGTGTGGAAGCCAACCTCGGAAACTACTTTGACATCATAACCGGCCGCTTCAATGCACCTGTAACCGGTAACGCATCCCCCTGACCGGCACAGCCTCACATTATTGAATACAGCTTTTCCCTCGCTTTTTGTGGGCTTGGTTTGTGCGATGTCGCGTATACTGGGCTAACATATTTCTACAACAAAATTGGTTTGGATTCACTCATGGGGGCCATGCGGTCAGACGTGGGACAACGTTGCGTGTTGTACTTTGTGCGCTACTCGGGCAGGCAGCTGTCTAGTGCGGTGCATTTTGGGTTGGGCGACTGTGTTGTCCATGCTGCACGATTTCGCTTTGTGCACTCTTTTTTGGAACACATTTACCGCATAAAACGGGGGAAACCAGGTGTAGGTGCTTTCACCACGGGGTTTGTGAGCAGTACAACTGGGGTGACAAATGCTACCATTATCCACACCATGGGCATTATCCATCATGAGCAGGCAGCTTTGTGTATATATCCACTATTTTCTGTTTTATAGCGACACATCCTATTTTTTTTTATATTCCGTGGATGTTTAATATCACATGGATTTTTCTTTTTCCGAAACGATACAAACATACTTTGGTAAAGCGACCACCGTAAGCTTTCTAGCATACACATTTGTAATCTAGAGATATAATTGTTCAAAAAAGTAACTATTAGCATTCGTCACCCTATGTTGTACCAATAAGTAATTCTTGGGCAATCACTCAATAACCATACAGAGTACTGTTTGGGGGTGGAGCAGTGGGCACAGCAGTTAGTACACCGCACTCTGGCTCCGGTGACCTAAGATTTCCAGTCACAGCGAACACAAGTGGTGAGTCATCTGAAACAGTGTTGTTTCCCACTTTCACCAACTTGTACTGTGACCAATGTGGTGAAGTATGGTAAAACATGCCGGATGACCGACACGGTGTGGGGAAGCCTTCATCCAGCAGTGGATTGACAATTTATTATTTGGAACATTTGCATATGACTGCCTCTTTGATAATGCAGTAATAATATTAAATCATGATGAATGTATATCCACCTCCTCTTTTCCTGCGATGGATGTTCCACAATAGTCTGCAGCGTTTTGAGATGCCGTTGCATTTAGTAGCCTCTTTAAATCCGAATTGTATTTTATATCTATTCGAAATGGTTAAGTAATGTAACATCGCTTTGTTTAACGTGCTCACAACCATCACATTTATGGGCGACTCGTGGAATTTTGGCAACACGTTCAAAGGGAAATTGAGAATAATTCCCCACCCTGAGAGCACTGTGTGTGAAAGCAATTCGAATTCACCGTCGACGACACGTGTGCGACAACGCTGCCTCTTTACGCAGGGGTGTATTACTTCACGTTCAACATGCTCAAGCACGAAGACGTGGAGGAAACGGTGGTCTACCTCATGCACAACGGCAACACGGTCATCACTTTGTTCAGGTGGGGATGAGTCACCGCCATGAGTTCTGTGTGGTATAATATACTATCTGCGAGATCATTAACGTCGAAACATGGTGTCTGTTTATATGGCGGCGCCTAAACGCGACCCGATCTCGCGATGATGTCCAGATCAAGTGCGTATATTACAGAGAGAGAGGGAGAGAAAAAAAACAGACTGTCATAGGAAGAGAAAAATAGGAAGCTTTGTTGAACTTGAATAAGGGCAGGGAGTTGACAGGACAGATCAGTGGGGAAGGCAGTTCAAGGCCACGGGGGGCAACAGATCAGAATGAGCAACGACAGCAAATGAACCCCAGTAAACCGCTGGGCAGGAGCCATGCATCAACAAAACACTGATTTATTGATTACAATATGTACCTAACTTTTGTTTCTGCCGATAACTGTTACTAACTGTCCCCTATCTATGAAGTTGTATTCATGTACAACATGTGATTATTGTTTTTGGGTGGTTCTCTGTGCGTGTTTTACATTGCCTTGAGATGTAGCTGCATTTAGATACTGGTTTCATCGATATTTGATTTATTGTGTATATATATATATATTCACATTAGAAATATCCCAAATTGTCCTGTGAAAATATACCCAAAATGGTATTGGACACATGTAAATTGCTTCAGAATTTCAATCTGATATGTTTCATATACAGAAATCAAGTGTAATGAAGCAGTAATTAATTAAAATGTAACAGTTATCTAACAGCACTTGTCGTAATTGCCAACTCATTATCTGTACCACATTTATTTTACTAAATATAATTGATCGTGACTAAGTGAAAATTACGTGCGAGCAATGTTTAATATATTACGATTCAGCTCATTAAATCAAGTTTGCATGTTGTATTTCACTCGGGACTGCATATGATTCCGAATAGATAGCTGTGTGTTCCTGGAGACAGCACTCACACTGCTTGTTAAATTAATTTCTCGACATAAGCCTGGTGTTCAAGAAAGTGTTCAGAAAACAAAATGCTTGCGCATGTCACGGCTGGCAAAAGAGCCTCCACTAAACATGAGCTCCAGACAGCCCCTCTAGAGGGTGCTGTAAAGAGGGGTACTATAATTCCATGCTGATCAAATGTCTCGGAAGAGGTGAAGGTACCTACACTTTACCCCACCACACACGTCCTGCTGATCGACTATCTGCGAAAGAACGTAAATATTCTGCATTTCATACAGAATAAGGACACTGTCCAGTTATACAAACATTAAAAGTGGGGAATGCACACTATAATAACATAATTGTAGAAATTGGGCAATAATTTAAACATGCAAAATAATATTGCGTATATTGACGATTATATGGATCTCACCACGTGATACTAAAAAAATTCTGAAATTAGTGAATGATAAAAAATAGACAAAGGAACATTGTTGAATATTTTGTGCGAATCGTGTAATCGATAAGCCATTTCAATAACATTTATCACAACTTTAATTGAAGGTAAAGTTGTCCTGAGTCTGGATTAACTGGAACATATTGGCAAGTCGCGTTCAATAAATGGGGTTGAAATGTTCCCAGCCTATGGGAATGTGACCGATTGAAGTGTGCTGCTCACTAATTCGATGAGAGTGTAGGGCAATGAACGATGCAGTCGTGCATTCCATCCTCTCTTGTTGGTGGGACTTATGTAAGTTATGGACTCTGGCTTGATGGGCCATGATGGATTGTTTGAGTAGTCATCCAAATGATCAACATAGGCGTGCAGATATTTAAATGATTGAAATCATCCCAAGGATATTTTTCGTTGAAAACTACTGGGAAAAAAAATCATTGAATTAATTGGCTTTGTTAATCGTTCACGAACATTGTTTGTCATTGAGCCGGATAACGCTTCTACATTAATGTGACTATAATTTTCATTATCTGTTCTCCATATTTAGAACTATCAGCAGGTGTAATCAACAATAATAATACTTCACATCCCTTTCACTACGGGATGGAGGCATCCACACCTTATTGATAATGAGGGTTGTTTGACCATACTTCACCACGCTATTCAGTGCGGATTGGTAAAAGGGATCGTGCTAATTGAATCATCCTCATAGCATTCGTAGGCAAGAAGGTGAAGCGAGCGGCTCGAAACTTGGGGTGGGGGAGGGGGGGGGGTTGAGAGAGGGGTAGGGGGGCCTAACCCACTCACCCTCACTGTCTATATTTCTATTCAGTCAAAAATATGTTCTCACAATATTCAAAACCAGTAATGGATTTTTCCTCAAAGTCCCCCAATTTGGTGAACATCCATAGGCGTACGGACGATGTGCCGGATGAGCATCAGTTCAGCGACTCGGCAAACGCGGTTTTGGTCACGTGTGTTCTTTGCAGTAGCACTGCTGCAGTTCGAGACGGCTGCACGCGAAGTGTCTAAATTAGCACGATTAGGCGATGGGCGTCGCAGCCCTTCGTCTAGAAACACGTGGTGGGAATTGCAGAGCAGAGCTCACGATAGACAAAAGCAGATTGCGTCATTTCTCATTGTTGGGCATTTGACATTTGCTTAACGCCGTGTTGTGTCCCTGCTGAGTTTTGTATGCCTCCCCTTTAAGCAAGTTCACGCTTCGGAGTAGAATGGAAGTGAGGTCACCAGGTTTATAGCACACGCTGAACCACTGCAACGCCACTCCACCCCATCAGGACGTGTATAGTTCCACAAATAGCACACATTCTGCTAACACTCTTGGGTTACACATGTATATGCTTTTATTAGGCTGTGTTTTCCGTACGGCCCGATTGTATTACTCGTTGGAAATTTTGAGCACTACATTAACTTTTCCTCTCTTCTGTCACCCATCTGCATCATATCTTGATTCTCGGTACCCCATTGACTCAGCTCATCTGTGTGTTGTTAGCTAGCTGCCAGAGACAGACACCTCTTGCCAGATCCCAAATAGACAGGCAATTAAGATAAACATCATCTCATTACGTGCATTCCCGTATGGAGACATTTTGCAATGATACACGCTTTCTGATTTTCTCATTTATATATTTATCACATACATCTCTGATAAATTTAGATCGGGAGGTGAGGTGTGGTGGCAGGTCAAGCTTATCCTTGTGTGGCCTGTTCATCTATTACACTGGTCAACACACTTTTTCTGGCATAAGGTATTCTAACGGGTTTAAGGTAATTTTGGGGTGCTGATTCCAAATCTGGCATCAGTTTTTGTCTATCACATCAGGTTTTTGAGATATCAAATATTGCATTTTAAATAAAATCTGCAGAAGAAAAATATTAAATAAATGTGGATATCTACATAAAATTATATTATAAACACACTATCCTAAAAATACAGCACCATATTTTAACACTAAAGCAGTCACTGACTCGCAACAACTTGCAATCATAAGTGACAGAGTTAATTTCGGGTAAAATCAATGAAAATGGGGTATGCTGATAGCATAAAAATGAGATGTGATAGAGCAAATCTGAGATCAGATTTGGAATCAGCACCCTGAAATTAGTCTAAAACAGCTGCAAAAGTCTAGGCTAAAAAAACCGTTTTTTTTTTACCAGTGTTATATATCCCACAAAGTGAAGTGCAAAACTTACATCTTTCGTTAATGGTCCCCAAACATTCCGTGTTTTCACAAGTGCACCGAGACACAACTGAAGGGGACTCCCATCAGCAACAAGGCCCAAGTGTGGCACACATTCTCTTCGTATTTTTTCCCCCTTACATTCCAAATTTTCTATCGACGTCATGTCACGAGGCAAATACATTTTCCATTCAGAGCTCTGACCAGTGCAGCATTCCATGCCACAGAAAGGGCCCTGCAGATTGTGTCACTGAACTACTGTACTTTTCGCTCTCTTCAAAATACCTATTTGTACACAGAAGGGGCACATCTTTTTTATTCGTTCTGCCAAAAAAATTGGTATTTTTATGTGTTCTTGCAAACGATGATAAATTACGTTACTAACTAACTTTACAATTACGTGCTTTTTAGTGTAGTTATTGGTGGCCAATCTGATACCATCAACTCAATGCCCTTACGAACCCAGTTTAATCAAGGGTGGTTGCTCAGATTTGAACATAGGATCTCAGCTGTGCACGCTAAGTGCTTTCAAACAGCATTAGCTCCCTGGGCTACACACACATTCTCTTTGATGTTTAGTGAACACTTACAAGATGCTTTATAATGATTTACCATTTAAACTGTTTTAAAAGTAATTCACAAAAGCCCATAGAAAATCTACATTTCCATTTGCAAATTGGATGTGAATTACGTGTTACACAGAATCGTTCATTTGAAACCATTTATTTTTGCACGTTGTTTCTGGTTTAATGACAGTATAGGGACTTTAACATCCACTTTATAAATGATTCTGCATTTTGGTAATTTCCAATATGAATTTCCAGGTGGCTATAGTAAGGCCCACTGAGCTGTATAACTATTTTTCAGAAGCGACATGGCCACAAATGATAGCCCAACGAAATGGCTTATGATGTGGAAATTTATAGCAGCCAAATACTCTAAACGCATGTTTCTAAATGTGGAGGGAAAAACCGGAGCACCCGCAGGAAAATCCACCCGACCACGGGGAGAGAACAAGCTCCAGCCGGTACAAAATTCTCTGGCACGCGTCGTGATGGGTCCTGCAAGATCCAATCATGTCTGTCCGGTGCTCGCCGAGCTGCATTGGCTTCCAGTTGCTGAACGAATACATTATATGGTTGTGCTCAATACACACAAAGTGCTTTCCACAAATTAACCATAATACCTTGTTGACCTCGGCAAGGGGCGTAAACCATCATGCAAACTCTGGTCATCCTCGCAGCAGATTTTGGCTAACCATCTAACAAAGATGGTCACTGCATCGCGCACTTTCCGATACGCTTCTGCGGCCATCTGGAACGCTCTTCCCTTCCGATATTAGGAAGCCACTGGAGCTATGCAGTTTTAAGTCTAAATTGAAAACGCATTTCTTTCGAATTGCTTTTTGTGTTTCGTCTATTGTCTTTCCTCTGCACCTCTGATTAACACGTACGGTGTGAAAGAAGTTCAAAATACATATACAACGTGCAAACTACAAATATACAAGAGGCGTCAGGGTCGGGATCAAACCCACGACCTCCTGTATACCGGGCGAGGTAGTTAACATATCACCACCATGACACCCCTAGAATTAGGAGTGGGGAATCAGAATACCAGGCCATAAAACTGCGAGGGACATTCAACAATTCTGAATATAGAGTATAAGGTTTACCGATTTTTTTTACAGATTATAGAAAATATAGAAAATGTACATGAAAAAAACACACGTATGATCCCCGTGTTGGATAAATTAAAGGGGTTGAGGGGGTCCAGGTGGGTCAAAGGTCAAAGTGGCACTGCTGATATCCCGACCTCGAATCTGGGTTTCAGCCGCTCGTGATTAAACCGGACTGTCAAAGTTGATGGTCTCAGCCCGGTCTGTAATGACTGCACGACAAAATCACTTGTTAAGTTTGGTTTTGCACTTAATTTGGCTTTATTTTTGCATCGGACAATTATAAATACACCTAAAATGTGTGCAACACTGAGCAAACGGCTCCCTTCAGGCAACTGCTACTCGTTGACAACGAACGCTCTCAGGGCACAACCTTCAAACATCTGGCCAGCACCAGATTTAAAACATCACTGTCCGGTTTAACGGGAGACAATGTGGCACATGATCTCCGGCGGCTGTTTGGTGTTTTGTGTGTGTGTGTGTGTGAAAAAGCCACTCCATTTATGCAGAAACAAACATTTTATTTGACATTTTACTCGCATGGGGATTTTATAGTATTATAAAGCAGCCTTTGAATCACGAGACGGGTTACACTGAAACGATTCAGTTTTACACAACGAATATCTGTGCTTCTTTGTTCATCTTGCCCATTCACTATATACTTTCATGATTGTTTGCTTATCACCTTCAGGTGCAGGAATTCTAAATAGATCAATACAGTACACACCCAATTCTAAGAGCAATCTTTATTAACCTCCTATGTTGACTGAGTGTATTGCGAGAACATTTGACTAACACACAAACACATAACACCCGACTGACGTGAGGAATATCATGGGATGTTCCTGTCAACAAACATGCAGTTGGAACACCATCTGCATGTTTGAATTGGTCTTGTGTGACATTAATATGGAGATGAATTAAGTAGACACTAACCAGCGTGGTATAGTATGGTCAAATAATCTCCATAACCAATACAGCCGGGGGGGGGGGGCTAATCCAACAGTGGAATTAGAAAAGGCTTATGATGTCTTCATACATAGCGTTAAATGAAGTGAAACTCTAAAAAAATTTTCACGAGACAATATATTGTTTTCAAGGTTGTCAGCTATTCTGGAGACCATCAGTCAAGTACACAAGGCGCACCAATGTCCCCTTTCAACATCTCAAGAGTCAAATGATCTTCACGCCAGCCATGCAATATGGATTGTCTGTGAAGTTATAAAACGCTCACGTGAAATAGCCCGAAGGCATGAGCATACTGAACTGTCAGCAATACCTGTAAATAAATAACACATTGACATTTTGCTCATCAACATTCCATAACAACGACTCAAAGACAAGTACATCATAAAGATGGTTTATATTTATTCAGAAAATATAGAGTTTTAAGACAATTTTCAAAGGAAGTTACTGCACGTGGGATGTTTTACCAGTCCCTTGTTAAGGAGTGTTTTGCATGTGGGAGAAAACAGGACTGCCCAGAGACAATTCCACTTGCCCTGCTCGTCTCCTGGCCACTTCACATCGCAGTGCATTTCGCAGCTTCACAAACACATACCATCCACGGACTCGAGCCTCCACTGCACTCAATTACAGACATGCAATACTGCGCCAGGAGTGTGATTTCTAAAAGCGGCCCCAAGTTCAAGACACTATTTGTATGCAAATCAAACGCCACTTGCTAAATATACCAAGCGATTCTGCAGTGGCAGTGCTTCTTCCCGTGCAACTCAGTTGAGAGGTTTTCAAAGATTTCTGAATTATTATTATTATTACCTCTCCAGTAGACGTCTAATCCCTTAACACTGTCACTGCAGGGGGGGGGGGGGTGGCCCTAATTATGCCTAATTTCAGGCGGAAGGATCACTCACTTCTCCACGCACCTGTGCAAGCCAAAATAGCTCTTATTAAGTTAAGGCCGTCAAGTGCACGACCTGGCTTTGCCTTTCCCGTGCAGCATCTCCATTCGCGGCATGAACACCGCACTTGAATCAGGCACTTCATCAGCCAGCCGACGTGCACTTCGCCTCAACATGGCTCCAACGCCGCCGTGTCCCACCCCCACTTCCCTGGTGTGCAGCTACGAAGTGAAGGGGAAGCACGACACAGCTGGGAATAGCGCTGTGCTGCGGCTCAAGGAAGGCGACGAGGTGTGGCTGCGACTCGGCAACGGGGGAATTCACGGAGACCACCAGCGCTTCTCCACCTTCTGCGGATTCCTCCTCTTTGAGACCGCCTGAGCATCTCCGCAACAGCATCGTTTTTTTTATTTCGTCTGCGTCCTTTTCCTTTTGTATATTCTTTTGAGTCGAGGTAAAGTGTATGCTCTTTTGTAGCCGCTTAGAACAAATTCAATTAAACGTGTATTTACTCGAAAGCCAAATAAATGGCCGGATACATTTTAGTCTACCAAAGCAATAATGCAAGTGTAACATTATGGTCAGTTGACTTGCATACCTGATGCTTAAATTGCATTTGGATGTCATTTAATATCAATGTTTCTCCTAGTTTGGAACATTACTTTTAAACAAACATTTAAATTAATGTATAGACTTAGCATTGTATTAAGGCCAGCATACTTCGGCCCACAGTCAATAAGGTGTGTTTATAATTTTAGCCAAATATGCTGAAATCTCTGGAACATTCTCTTATATTTTCCAGTTAACATTGTGAGGCTAAAATGTTTTTAATTTTCTGCATAGTTCTGATTGACAGGATTGTATTTCTGTATGCGGTGTTATTTACATTTCATGAATTCATGGATAAATTGATGTTGCTATAGCTACCGTAGCAATCTGAGCATTTTCGTAACAATGTACACTACCACATGTTTACTTCTTCCGCAATAAAATGTTTTGGATACAAGCTGGCCGCCTCGTATATTGCTCATACGAAAGAAATATGAAAGAAATAACGCTGTTGGGAACGCATCCCCATAGATACAATAGTATAACGATCTCTTTTAGCACCGATTCGATTCACGCTCACTTCAGGAACACATTGTGAGCGCAAAGCGAGGTCTGCCTGTACTGTACTTGCATTTTTGTATTATAAGTTGTAATATAACATATACAGCATTTTGTAGAGTTCAATGAGAAAAAAAGCGATTAAACAAATTAATCTGATTATTTGCTCTGGCGAAAGCGTTTATAACACAGGGGTGAGCCATGCAGCAGAAATGTAAAACAGTTGCATTTTGTCAAGTTATGTAACTGTAGTAGCAGAACACACGTGCCAACAAGCACAATCGATTGATTTTGATAATGTTGAAGTTCTGTGCAAAACTAGACTAATTCGAGAATCTATCGAAATTTAGAGAATTGAAAATAATTGTAACCGTTCTGATAATTACAGTCTTAGTGCTGCTTTGAAGCGAATTATCAAGTAATACACTGTTTAACTGCATGCCTATCAAGGTCACCACACGTCGATGGTGATTAACTGTGAGCAGACGATAAAAGATATTGCGATTTCCTGCACACAAAAACGGCGGGATGTACAGGCTTGGTGTGCATGCATAATTTGCATGCACAATGTTGATGATTTCCCTTTGAATGACTCAACCGGTAATGTATATCTGGCCTTCGCACCTGATTGGCTCACAAGTGACGATATCACATGTATCCCTCGATTTAAGACCGAAGCAGGAGGATTTCTCCACAACCCTGGCCGCATGCCTGATGATGCTAGTTGCAATTACTGGCGAAACGTCGTACTCGAATTGTAAATGTTGTGGGTTTACTTTCCAACACAAACCTGAATAATTGGCTGTCTTGGTGGTGGCGGGTTTAATGATACATTTATACTTATGCGATCTAACCCAAAACACTTCTGATGGATATTGGTCACGAAAGTCTACGTTGTTAAACGTAGTACTGACATGTTTTGTATTTTACAGTTTAAAATGCAATATTGAACTCGTTAGTCATCAGTCTCGTTTTTGTTCACGTGTTTGTTAATCGACGGGTCTCGTGTGGTGGGGTTAAGTGTGGGTGCTCACACCCATTCCAAGACGTCTGGCCAGCATGATAAGAGTAGACTCGCGATAATTGTTTTTTTACCCTTCTATTTGGCAACAAAACTGACACCTGTTTTACAAGGAGTCATGTTTGCATAGACCACAATACCTGCAGTCATAATGCAAACAAAAAACATAACTCTGATAATGTATGCACTGTCCTTGAAGTTGATTGGTCCACACCCGAGACAGCTTTTCTTAGAGCCTAGTCTCACATGGGTTGGACCAGATGACGCCAAAAGGCGCACAACTCAAAGACAATGCACCATCAGAGTATGAGAGCTCGGGGTAAGCATTTACACCATTGGAACCTCATTTGCCAGTAAAAAATATGATAATTGGGTTTTTACCCTTCTATCTGGCGACAAAACTGACACCTTTAAAAAAAAAACAATTATCATATTTTTTACTGGCAAATGAGGTTCCAATGGTGTAAGAGTAAGCTCATCAGAGAGGAGTGGTGCGAGCAAGACACTGCAAGGCGACATCTTTACGTATTGTTATTTCTTTATTGTTTCCATAACTTACATTGTTTTTGAGATGTGTGAATTGTAATTTCCTGTAAAACTCAAGGACAATGCATTTTAAGCATTTTAAATGTCTGATATCCTTCTCTGAACATTCAAGTAAAAAATAATTTAGATTAAAACATCCTTATTTTGGATATTAGAGGTACTAGATATGGTACCAGTGACCAAATCGGGATTCTTTACTCGTGCAAATAAGCTAAAATACTTGTCAATTGCAACGATGAACACCACACTTCAATATGTTTTTGTTAATTAAGTGTTAAGTAAACAGCTCAGTGTCAAGGTTAAACCGAATCGATATTCATTTATTTTGGCAAGCTGATGGTTTTCTGATATTTGGGATTCATAATCACGGTACAGTTGTGTGTCAGGACCTGTAAATATAATTAACTGCACATCTGAGTGTGCCTGGAGGGCACGCGATGGTCAATAATTTTTCATGCACAACAGCTTACAAAAAATAAAAATCGCGAGGGAAAAACGCCTAGTAATGTCCAATAAAAATCAAGGTTTAACATTGCCTTTGAGACAACATGATGCATTTCAATGTAGGTGTGTTAGGCTCCTTTAATACACCTAAATTGTTCAGCAAAACAATTATATTAAAGCGTGTGTTCTGAAAAATGAACGGTCAAAAAATGGTGATCCAATCACGTGAGCTTTTGTGCAAGTTGACACGCTACAGACAGAGAACACCACCAGGTGGTGGTGGCTATGCACTTGGCCTGTGATCCAGCACTGCAGAGGTGAGGGTTGACAGGTCACCGCACAAATGTTGTGAAACTCCCTTCCCATGTACGTCGGGGAAGTGCAATACCCTGACTTGCCAGGGTAAAGCCACAACATTTACAATCTGAGTAATTACTGGCTAGTTGTAATTATTGGTGAAACGTCGTACTCAGATTGTAAATGTTGTGGCTTTGCTCTCCAACACACCGGTGTGCTGTACTAGTAACGAATTGTCATGTTCTCTTTACGTGACAAAAACCTAACTATTTGGCTATGTCGGGTGGTGGCGTGTTTAACGACACATTTATATATTTAAGCGATCTAACCAAAAAACCTGTATTATGGTCTAATAACCTAGGTTATCACGAGTGCGCAAGAAGGCAACACAGCAAGTTGACTTATCGCCATCTATTTCCATCTGTACGGGGATAGAGTGTTGCCTCCTCTTGCACAAGGCACAGGTTTTCTCCGGGTGCTTTTGTTTCCTTCCACTTGTATAAACACTCAGTAATTGGCTGAAAACATGTTCAAATCATATCCCAATGCAGGATGCATCTGAAAAAGACTCCTACGACTCCGTGTGGGTTTTCTGGATAATATATACAAAGAGGCCATGTGATGTATGCAGCCACTGACTTCAGATCATGTACACATAAACATGGGCACATGATTATCACAAAGACAACGCCACTTGTACAATATTTGATATGATAAAATAGCCTTTGTGCCCGCTAAATGAATTGCATTGTGGGTTTATGGTGAAACGCAAGGATTTTTTTTGCAATTGGTGGATGTTATCATATTTAAATTACCTAATGTCACCGCATATTCTGTTCACATCTTACTGATACAATATTTCCATGAAATGTTATTCAGATTAACGGGCAGTAAATGTTAATCCCGTGTTTGCCTAGCAAAGCAAATTTAACAAGACTGTATAGGCGTACCGATGATATGTTGTGGAAGCAGCATTGAGTGAGAGAATGTGACTTCTCAGACTGCAGGTTTAGCAAACAAATGAGCAAATGAGGTGGATGTGTAAAAGATCCCGAAAAGACCTGACAGCATGAAAAACTAGCAATAAAATCACTCTTGTCACTACGCAATGGGGGAAAATGCCACATGAAGTTTACGTAAGTTATATACTTTACATTGCTTTTTATTTACTTACATTCTACACTCAATAATACAATCGGCCAAACATCCCAATATAGCATGATTTTCCTGAAAAGTAGTCTTGAGACTCAATGAGGCTTTCCTGGATAAATAAAAGACATTATTATTACTCTGTCACATGAAAAAAAATATTCCTCTTGTCACGATAATAATAAGTAATGTAAAAATGCACAGCCGTTTGCCATTCCACTACTAGATGAAGGCCTATCCAGAGTTTTTTGCTGATGAGTGTGAAATGGTGAAGATGGGTTGGGATAGGTGGGGGAAGAATTGGTTCATATTTTACTTATCACCAATGTTCGACGTGGCTGGGAATATAATTAGAAGTGCTGGGTCCATAATGCAGTGCAGTGCACTAAACCACTGCACCACAACATTTGTCTCCTAATGGGTGGGAAATAAAGTCTTCAAATTGCATCTGGCAGGCAGCATTGTGTTGTGGGAAAGAGGTTTTTCAGAGCGTCTTTAGAGTCAACTAGCTGTACTACCCGGCTTCGCCCGGGACTTGTATCCACCACGCCCGGCCGCCTTTGTCTCCCCAGTGGCGATGTTAATACGCCACACCAGTTACTCGTTTTGAGGCTGAGTCCCTCCCTCACCACTCTCCCTCCCTCACCACTCTCCCTCCCTCACCACTCTCCCTCCCTCACCACTCTCCCTCCCTCACCACTCTCCCTCCCTCACCACTCTCCCTCCCTCACCACTCTCCCTCCCTCAGCACTCTCCCTCCCTCAGCACTCTCCCTCCCTCGCCACTCTCCCTCCCTCGCCACTCTCCCTCCCTCGCCACTCTCCCTCCCTCGCCACTCTCCCTCCCTCGCCACTCTCCCTCCCTCGCCACTCTCCCTCCCTCGCCACTCTCCCTTCCTCACCACTCTCCCTCCCTCACCACTCTGTAGAGGACGTGAAACTTTGATGAATTTACCTCAGAGTCGTGTGGTGGGTGTCGAGGCCTAGCACCGTGCAGAGCCTCCGGCCTCGCCTGATTTTCTCACCCGGCTGAGGCTGGGCACGGGTGCCCTCCCCCCCCCCCCCCCGCGCTACAATAATACTGTCTAATCGCTATAATTTTATAATCTACCGACCCTATAATAGTAATTGCACACATTGTGGTGGGGGGGAGAGAAGAGGACGTGAAACTTTGATGAATTTACCTCAGAGTCGCGTGTTAATGCGTGCGCCTATTTTTAATGGGAATTAAAAATGGCGTCCACCCCGCGGCGAAGGCGTCGCTACCCGTTGCCAGGGGCAACCGCCGTCCAATGAAAGCGGCGAAGGCGTCGCTACCCGTTGCCAGGGGCAACCGCCGTCCAATGAAACTGCGTATGGTCCGGCGACACACAGACACACACACAGACAGACAGATTCGCGATTTTATATATATAGATGATGGAATGGTCAGCCTCAGGTTCC